TTACTTGTTGAGTATCTAAATTACTTTTCAGACAGAGTAATTAGTAAAGTAATTTAAATACAATATTGATTATGTAATTAGTAATAGTAATTAATTACTTTTTGAAAGTAACTTACCCAACACTATATATACATTATATTGCCCTCTTGCCCTCCCTTAAAAAAAGCTGGGAAATCAGGAAGTGGCAGCATGTTATTTAGCACAGGCATGCAGTTTGAGGATCAGTGATCAAGATAAGAACTTTAGGCCCGTTCTTGTCTAAGTATCTCATGGCAGTAAATTTAGTATTCAGTCCGTGAAATCCTGATTTTTCGAACTAAATGTGCTATAGTGGTATGTGGCCCACTGGGACACATTTCCCTCCTGGTTTAAAGACTCTGTGCAACTGCATTTGGGGCTTGGTTGGGAATTACAAGACATTCCTAATGTGCAGTTATTTAAATGGTTTTGTGGGCTCAACAGCTGGGAGCAGCTGTTTTGAGCACCCATGGCCCTTAGTCAGGGTAGATGGCATATTTAATCACTTGAATGAAAATGAGGCTGTGAGGGATAGAAGTACAGACTGCTCAATGGGATGTATTGAGTTCCACAGATTGGTCAGCTGACAGATAAAATAAACAGTTAAATCAATTATAATCATTGATTTCAAATCCAGTGGAAAAACAAACAAACAAAAATGCAAAATGTGAAAAATATGCCCTCCACCCTGACTAAGCTCCACAGAAAAAAGACAAGCAAACCACATACAGTCCCTACAAACATTTTGAGCTTTACAAAGTCATTCAGCATGCTTACATATAAATGATTATGGCATGATTCCCTTTTGATAGCCACATGGATAAACAGTGCAGACTAAATTAGTCCCCTGAGAAACTCCTGCAACGCAAATAGCTAAAAAACGAAATGATCCTCTTTCACAGAATGAACAATGAAAGGTATATTAAAAATCGGCCTCCAGTTCTCCATCATGCAGTGAGCAGATGCAGACAAAATCAAATTCTGAGTCGTTTTACCATTACTTTCAAACCGTGATGACAGCCATAAGCCAGCATGTTATACACGGAGACATCTTCACTTTCGCAGGCTCTTCATATCAGCCAAATTCCAACGCGAGTAAGAGACTGCTGTCTTCATTTGGGCTTCCTAACCCAGTTAAGCACTTATGAAACTCAAGGTAACAAAGTTTCCCTCTTAAAATGAGATTTCATTACCTCAATGACTCTTTAATGACAAAGGAACCAAAACAAAAGAGCAATATAGGTAAAGTGAGAAATAATGAAAGATAAATGCTTCGGTCGTCCATCACCAAAGAGAGAAGAGGGAAAAAACAGAAGGTGCCAGCTGTTCACTCCTCAAACCTTCATCCTGGAACATCAACTCCAGTGTCTGATTGGTGAATGCTGTCTGGTGAATGCCTGTTATCTCATTCTTGCTGTTGTCACTGAGGACCGTCATGTTCTGCTGTCTGTAAAGATTTTCGCTTGAGAAGCTTGTAGCTGACAATCATTTTTTTTGACACGGAAACATTCAAACCAGAGTATCCTAGCTATCCTAGACAGGGGCTGCCCTGAAATAAGTGCCATGTTTTGGAGATTACATCAGAGCTCCCATAGTGCACCTGGCTGAAAAAGTAACACTGTGGACCATCTGAAGGCTGGGCTGTTTATTCAGCTGCCCTCGGGAACCGTGCACCTTACCCTCACACACACAGACACGTACACAAACGGACGGCTTGCTGACCTCTGGCCGTCATATAACACCGGGTAGGATCCCACCGAGACGACAAATCCAGGCAGGATTATTTGGTTGGAATTCCAACCTTATATTGGGAGCGGAGAAATGAACCAAACATTCAGCTCTCATAACAAACTTAGTTAACAAGATAGGTGTCTATCCCTCAGAAATGTTATTGTATGACCTAAAATGTAATTACACAAATTAGGAGCAACATTAGACTTGAAACTCTGATTATTTTGCCAGATCTAATTGAATTTCTTCTTTAAATCGACTGCTGTAATATCGGCGGTAACTGAAGCTTCGTATCGCAGATGGCTTTGACAAAAGGGAAGTGAAAATGAGCAACTGAACTTACTCTTTCACAACACTCAGCCTTGAGAGTGTGAAATGAATAGGCGTCCGTGTGTATGTGTGAGAACTGTATGAAAGGTATGTGATGGGTGCTACATGTCTTCAAAGATGAGTCAGGCGGTTAAGTGGTCTCATTCTCGTGAAGTCTGAAATAGATCAGTGAACTATATATTTTTAGTTGAGAATTTATTCTCAGGCTGAGAATGTCCAAGTACGAATAATACCTCTTTGAAACGGTGCCCAATGGCCAGCTATTCCAAAACCTCGAAGCGAATTCTAAGCATTGAATGAGTAATGATTGACCACATTTGCCGCAGCAAGTGAAACCATCAAAAAATTTCCACCTGCTTCATTTAATCATTAGCCTAATATTCTCCATCTGCTACCAGCCCGGTGTGGTAATGGACGCAGGGGCTGAATGGCGCTAAATGAGGTTTGCTCTGTAGAAGTCACGCTTGCGTGCTCGTCCTGCTATTGGACGGGAGACGGTCTGGGCAGAAGCTTGCAGTTTGCAGCTTGTCGGACACCTATGAGCTCACCTGCGGGAGACTCCGAACAGCAATCAGCCATCATGTCTTTTTGACGCCAACGACAATTTACAAACCTGACGCGCCTCACAGGAGGACGCAAATTTTCACGAATTTCAGAAGGAGTGGAAAATGAAAACCAGAGAAGGAAAGGAAAAGGAGGAAAAAAGCCCTTAGTCAGGGTAGATGGCATATTTAATCACTTGAATGAAAATGAGGCTGTGAGGGATATAAGTACAGACTGCTCAATGGGATGTATTGAGTTCCACAGATTGGTCAGCTGACAGATAAAATAAACAGTTAAATCAATTATAATCATTGATTTCAAATCCAGTGGAAAAACAAACAAACAAAAATGCAAAATGTGAAAAATATGCCCTCCACCCTGACTAAGCTCCACAGAAAAAAGACAAGCAAACCACATACAGTCCCTACAAACATTTTGAGCTTTACAAAGTCATTCAGCATGCTTACATATAAATGATTATGGCATGATTCCCTTTTGATAGCCACATGGCTAAACAGTGCAGACTAAATTAGTCCCCTGAGAAACTCCTGCAACGCAAATAGCTAAAAAACGAAATGACACAGATGGTGGGTGTTGGTTGCCAGGGCAACATTGAACAGGCAGAACAATGAAAATATGGCATTATTTTCAGAGCTCTCATCAAATGTAACCTCCTTCCCACATCACAAGCTCTTTTCTGGCATTTGCGGTGTTGAAACTGACAGCTCGCTGGCTAATCTAAAAGATACGCGAACAATTTACTGACATTTGTACAAACTGCTTCAACAGAGTCTTTTAAGCTCTCTTAAGGTTCGACAACAGCCGATTTTACACTCATTTAGACTGCAAAGACACATTAAGAGGTCTTCTAACATGAGGCGGAATAAACAATGAGACCATTGTGACCAGTCTGAAGAGGTCTGGGAAGGCCCAATAGCAGAAAAGCCAAAGAGTGTGGGACTAGGGGAGATTTAGGAGGGTGTTTCTTGGTTTCTTAAGAAAGGAACTGGTTAGTTTTAAAGTGAAGGATAGGATGAGGAAGAACGAGTGATTGATTTGTGCACTAAAGAATAGCTCCAAAAATGTGCCTCTTGACCAGAGTTCATCGAAATGGGCCACCATCTGTGCATTCATCACCAAATTATCACTAAAACGGTCCAATGAAAGCCCTAACACAATGAATCACAAATTTGACTTGCCCACTTAATCCAATAATCTGGAGGCAGGTGGCGAACGGTGCTTCTGATTGGCTGACCCCGAGCTGAGCACACTGGGTAATAAGTGGGTGTATCAATGCACTAATGGTTATAATTAGACACACATGGAAAAGCTGCACGCTTTCGCGACCAGGCCAACCTTCAGTCGACTGCATAACCAGTGACCTCAGCGTGGGCCGGACACAGATTTGAAACTCTTCCAGTTTCGGAATGGTGTAATAATGAAAGCAAGAGTATGCCACAGGCATTTTTGGCCCACGTTTGGCCCCCTTTTTGCATCAGTACATGCTTGTACAAAAAACACGTTGTATCCTAATGGATCTAGAGTCTTAACAGAGGTGAGGAGCGTTATTTAGAAGGGAAATGGCTTTGAAAGTAGACCCTGGGGTGGTTGATACTAAAATCTGTTGCGATAAGCCATTTTGGGGGAGTGAAATCTTAGTTCACCCTTGTAATGATGCTGCAGGGAAAGTGATAAATACTTTATAAGTGTTTTAGCGCTTTATTTCAATTCAATGACTGCCTCGCCAACACTTTTAAAAGTTCATCACTTGCAAGTTTTAGATTTCTTAATGTGTCTCATTTGTTATCAGTTATTCGTTTATAGTAGTCTGCAATCATGTGATGACAGATCCACACTTACATGTGCCAAACTCATAAACTGTGACCCTCTCAGCAACACCAGCGCTGTTTACACAGACTGGAGAGGGCAAACAGGCCATGGACTTTACGAGCCAACATTCACGCCTGTGCGCTTGCCTGTTTGTTTGCGCTGGCCGTCATGGTCGGTCAGGCTCAGCAAACACAGAAAGACGTGATTGAGAACGATAGAAGCGTCGGAGTAGAAAAAGACAGACAGAAAGAGGCAGCCGTAACTTTAGGCGGCTCCAGAAATGCGCTCTGTGATCGGGTTACAGAGCTGCGACCGCATGGCCGTCTCCCCGGAGAGGATCAGGTGAATTCCCAGGATAGGAGGGCCTCAGAAGGCAGACACTCCAGATTTAATTATATGCTTTAAAGAGGATTATTCAGCTCTGCATGAGAGAGACAGATGACTACCTGCTCTCCCCCTCTCTTCCTTCTCGTCTTCTCCTTTTCTAGCTCTCCATCTCTTCTCATTTTGTCATGAAGGATGCGGGATTAATGAGTGGACGCTCTTACCTGGGCAGGGAGGCGTACTGTCGCTCGACGTCCTCATAGCGGGGTGTCAGTCTGGGGTCAGGGTTTCTCATTGGCATCTGGTAAAGGGCAAGAAGAGAGCAGAGTGAAAAAGAGCCGAGGCAGCATACATGACAACGTCACATAATGATTGACTGCAATACAGCTCCTGCAGTGTGTGGCAGTGTCAACAGGGCAGTATACACACAAAGCATGTTGTACATAATAATTCTAGATGTAAAAAATAATTCAACCTGAGCATTTAAGGATATTACCTACAAAATCAAATCAATATCAAACATAAAAGTAGCTGTAAATAATGCTCAAGATATCACAACACTGGAATGCATTTTAAATAACTGATCATAATTAAAAAAAAAAATCTTACAATGAACAGTTCTCTACTGCTGATTGGCACTTATATTTTAAAACATTATGTTTCTTTTTGTGGCCTTTTGCTTACCAAGGCTGCATTTTTAAAATAAAAAAAATACAGTATACACTACAATGTTGGGAATTATTACAATTTAAAATGACTGTATTCCATTTACAGGATATTGTAAATGGAATACAGTCAATACACCCCCCCCCCCAATAAATGTCATATTATCAATGTTTTAAAAAAAAGTTAGTCCTTAATATTTTAATTGAAACGGTAATGCATTCTTTAAAGATTCATAAATGCATAGAAAGTTAAATAGAACAGCATTTATTTGAAACATAAAAGTGACATTTTGAAACAAATATCATTACTGTCACTTTTTACAGACACTGAAATTAATGCATCCTTGCTGGGAAAAATATTGAAATTAAAAAGTGATAATTTAATTAATAGAATAATTTTAATTGTTATAATTTATTTTTAATAATTCCTTAATACTTCAAATAATAATTGTTTAATATAATGATAATTAGTCTTAATTAAAAAACACACTATAGTAGCTACACACATTCAACATCACTCACCTTTATGAAGGTGAACACAGATATCTGTCAGTTACAGGTCACAATGGTGTCTGAAGAGTCACTAAACCCACAATTAAAAATATTTAATAGAATATAATGAAACATTATATTCTAATTTCAATTGTGCCCCCCAGATTTAAAATACCATTTTTGCCATGACCCCTGGTTAATTTCTCAACTTGGCACAAGGACACCTATTCCACCTAGGCAGACACCCCTATCGGACTCATCACATTACTGTGCAGTTCATTGTGAAACATGAATTAACGTGAGCGATTCATTCAATGCCACATTCTAGACCAGCACTGGCCCTGTCACTCTCTCTCTCCACATTCATCACGGAGTCACCTTCCCCCTGAAATACCTGCTGTGCCCTGTAATCAAGCCATGAAAGGCAGTGTGAGCTGCTCACAAAGGCTGCTTATTGGGGGATTTAGTACTGGGAGTCTTGGGGAGGGGGTAAAAAAACAGATCCCAGATTATGTTTCCTAAAACAGGATGGAGTCTAACAGTCCTCCAACCCTCCTGGACTAAGCCTGACTCAAGCCCAAGGAAGAGCCAGATTAACTGTGCGCATTACATTAGCAAGATGAGCAATCTCTTAAAACACGGGCTAAACCTCCCCTCATTCAGCATGCAGATTTGGGAGCATCTCCTGTTTCCTTCCACTAAAGACCGGCGCTTTCAATGGGATTTGGTCAAACCGTGTGCAATGATCATGCCGTTTAGAGCCCGAATAAAACATTCAGAAGCAGAGACTTCATTTTGGTGAGACTTCCCCCATTTGTCTTGCAGCCGCCTTGTCCCTCTTCACCCGAAAAAGCAAAAAGATGAAAAAGGATTGGGACTGTGAGAATTGTACCCTGAAACATATAGGTAACTTAATCAATTATAAATACTGACATATAATCCATGAGGAAATTATTCCAGTAGATTTAGCAGGGCCTGACAGATGAAGGTTGGGGCCATTATGGAAAACTGGCTGCTTTTCCGAGGGCAATATGTGTGAAATTGTGTCATCTGTCTCAATGAGCTGATTTTAAATACACAGCTCGCTGTGCCACCACCCTCTCTCTCCACCGTCCTCATATTAGCCACATTTTTCTCAGTCTCAACCCCCCCCCCCACACGAAATGTCTTCGGGGCTTCAATATATATGATGAAAGGACAGGCGCACATTACCTGTGAAAAAAGGCTAGTTGAGCGAGAGGTCAGAGAGGAAGTGCTTATGAACGAAAGAGGAAATGTCCTCGGTTTCAATCAGCCACATCTTCCTCGCTCTATCTTTGCCTCTCCTTCACGAGACGCAATGAACTCCACGAGTAACAGAAGTGGGTGTCTTTGAATGTTGATGACGGTGAAATTCAGAACGGTGAAGATGCCTGGAGGGTTAAATCTTCAAATGGAGCAGATCTGACACAGGTGTTCAAAACTCAATATTTGGTATAGAAAATTTTAAAGGATCCTTCCCCTACAAGGATCGATATCTGGCTGGATCTGTCCCGCTGTAATGACGGCAGTGATTTGCTTCATTATTTGGCTGTGCCCTCGCATTCACACCATGTTGCTAACTGTGTCCACACTCTGCCCTCTCACCATCTGTGCTTTCAACTCTGACAGAAGCTGCCAATCTGTGCTGACCAAAAACCAGCCAATCAGGAGGAAATGGACAAACTGAGGAGCATGAAACGAACACCCCGCAACCCTGAAACTGATAACAGTGCATACGAGGATAAACCACCTTTCCAGACACCTAGCCTGTGGCTAGAAAGGAGACGAAGAGATCAATGATGACTTCCCTCATTTAAGGGCTGATCAGATATAGAAGTGGTGTGGCACAGCAGTTAAGGCTGGTATCCGGAAGGTTGCTGATTCGATCGGAGCAAGAAGTGAGTCATCACCACTGTGCCCGAGGAGGTCTATAATACCTGGAGTGAGACCTCCGTTAGCATTCCCATTCATCTCAATGACACTTGCTCGTCTGGAAGCGCGTGATTTGAAATCTGCCATCTTTCCTCATGCACAGAAATAGTCAATTTAGATTAGATAAGAGCTATTTTTACTGATGCTTTGTAGGATTGAATAAAAGTATCTTAATTATCTACATTCCTCTTGACTTGGTATGCCATTTCAGATTTGTATTTAACTAAACACTGTTGAGATACAACACCACAACAAAAAAATCTAAAGCAAAAACCATGCAAAAACAACAAGAAACGGGTTAAATACATTTTCATGTATCTGTGAAAACCCCTTTCTGACATCTGAATATAGAGTAGGTGTATGACTAAGTTAATTGTGATCGTGTGTGTGTAGGCACAGAGGCCAGTGTTTGTGTGGGGTGTGTGTGTGTTTGCTCGGGGGGCACTGGAGGTCTCTCTCTGGAGAGTGTGTATTTATCCCTCCGCTCTGAGCTGCACAGGGCTCATGCATATGTAAAACGCAGAGATGAAATCAGTCTGATTTTACAGTTCACTGCAGGCTAGGTAAACAAATGAATGCGAGGAGGGGAGAGGAGGAGAATGGTGTGCTGGAAGGGCAGGGCGGGGTGTGCTGACTCTCACCCTCAAACAGGAATCACCCCGGCCTCATTAGAGTCGGCTCACCTGCAGGCGCCACTAAAGAAATCTCTTGATCTGACCGTGCAAACTCTCACCCGCGACATTATCGAGAGTTTGCTCAAGCCGGCCAAATTCGCAGGGCTGAAAATGGCACTTGTTAAATGTTAATAACCCATGAGTTTATTCATGAAGAAACCTTTAGTGGTGCAGATTAATCTGTCCTTTTCACTCGCTCTAAGTGATGCTGAACAATATGCTGTTTGATCAACCTTCTTAGATGCTAAGTACATACCATCAATACATTCAACTTGTGCTAACACAAGTCATACATGTCTGGCAGCACATAATGATTGATGATGAATGTTAAATATCAAAACACAGCATACTTTTTATATGTGAAATAGTAAGGTTCATATTCAAAGGCATATGCATCGGAAAAGCTGTGACCTTTGCTTATGTAGTTGTAGTTTGTGCATCTAACTTATTTGCAGATGTTTCATAAGCTATAAATATCAGACATTTTCTAGGATTTCTAAACTTTGCATAACCCTTTTTCTTTCTTTCTTTTTCTTTCTCCTCTAAAAGAACTAATGTCATAATTAAAAACTTATGAATGTCACTCCATTAGATAAAACAAATGAAAAATCTCAAATTTATGCCTTTAAATCTTTTTTTTTTTTTTAGGTTTTCACTGATTATTAAATGACGGCAATAAATATAACTATTTGGGTAACACTTTATTTTGATAGTCCACTTTAGACATTCTACTAACAGTAAGTAACTTTGCAACTAAATGTCAACTAGTAGTCAGAATATTAGTAGACTGTCTGCTTAATACCTTCTAACACTTTATTTTGACGGGTCCACAACATACTGACTATAACTTTGCAAGTATACGTCAACTTATTCTACTAACCGAAAACCTAACCTAACAGTCTACTCTGAGAGTTAGTAGGCACGTAGTTGCAAAATCAATGAGAATTAGTTGACATGTAGTTGCAAAGTTACTTATAGCTAGTTGAATGTCTAAATGGGACTATCAAAATAAAGCGTAACCATTTACTGTAACCGTTTAAATTGGCATTTATTAGTATGTAGTAATATTAAAATTTTTATATACATTAATCTTTGTAATCTCCTCAGCTGACAATGTAGACACCTGACAAATGTTGTTGTGATCATAAACTGTATGGATGTGATTACACGCAATACACGGAGCTTTTCCCTCATCATTGTAACGTGCTGTTTTTGCAAGTTTCCGTGAAAAAGTTTCAGCTTTTATTTTCCTTTTACGCCCTGAAGAAGAATCTCCTCAGCTGACAATGTAGACACCTGACAAATGTTGTTGTGATCATAAACTGTATGGATGTGATTACACGCAATACACGGAGCTTTTCCCTCATCATTGTAACGTGCTGTTTTTGCAAGTTTCCGTGAAAAAGTTTCAGCTTTTATTTTCCTTTTACGCCCTGAAGAAGATATCACGGGTTCATCAAGTTCATCGAAATTATCCATCCTTGATCACTTTTAGTCAGCTTTGACGAAACTCCTCT